ACCACATCTTTCTCTACCTTCGCGGTCCCCCGTACATCACGCCAAAGAACAAAATCCCCATCCGCGTCGTTTGCCTCTCCGACACCCACAGCCAAATCCCTCGCACAGCCATCCCCAAGGGCGACCTCCTAATCCACTCCGGTGACCTTACAAATAACGGCTCGCTCTCCTCCATCCAGCAAACTATAGACTGGTTAAAAACACTGCAAAAACCCTGGCACGGCTCCTCTGATGGATTTCGTCACATCGTAGTGGTGGCGGGAAACCACGATAGCTATTTTGACGAGCGCAGCCGTGGTATACAAGACAAGAGCCGTTCCTACCGGCAACTAGACTGGGGTAAGATTCACTACCTGCAGCACTCATCGGTCACATTACGTTTTCCTGGTGCTCGCTCATTGAACGTCTACGGCGCTCCGCAGATACCTCAATGTGGAGGTAAGGAATTTGCATTTCAATACAGCAGAGGTCAAGATGCTTGGAGCGGCACCATCCCCGAAGATGTGGATGTCCTGGTCACGCATAACCCGCCCAAATGGCACCTTGATTTACCAACCAGTGGAGGCTTGGGTGACGAGTTCGAGTTGAAGGAAGTCTGGCGCGTCAAACCAACGCTACATGCATTTGGACATATCCATTCTGGTCACGGCGTTGATCCCGTCTGGTGGGACGAAAGCCAGCGGGCATTTGAAGAGTTTCTGGCCGCAGCATATAACAAGCCTGCAGACACACCTGCGAGTCACCGCATGCCCTTTGCCGAGCTGCTGGATTTACCGTTATGGGTAAAAGGTTTCAAATGCACTGCTGCAGATGTGAGAGGACTCCTGTGGACAAGGCTGTGGGGCGGCGCCCGCCAGGGAGGATATATGGTCAACGGAGCCCTGGCATATCAGACGAGTACCCGACTATTGAATAAACCCAGAGTTGTAGATCTATAGATTCACAGTGCGAAGAGCCTTGCCTTGGATGTTATGCACAAGCTGAACGAAGAAACGGTCGATGATATTACGATTCCCACGCCCGTCTCAATCCATGGGCACCGAACCAGAGGAACCAAAAGAATCCATACACCAGATTCATGTTCAGGCACAGCTTCATGGCGTCCCAGAGTTTTGCTAGACACAGAACAGCGAAAAGCACAAAGCATAAAGCGAGGTACATGTGCGGATACAGGACCCGTGTTTAATCATTAATCGTATATTTTCCCCTTCTCTGTGGCTTTATGAAAACAAGTTTCCAAGGAATTTCACTCTCCCAAGTAAGTACTAGTTAATATCCAGCTCCCGAGAAATTTTTTGAGCCATCTTGTCATTGACACTTTGTCCGCATTTCCCATTCCCATTTCCAACATCCCGAGGTGATAGTGTAGGAAAAGAAGAAGTAAGGGCATATCCAAATTACACAGTCCAACCCCCTTTTCCACACTCTCACTCTCGCATAAAAGTAGCAAAGGGATGCCTTGACCATGTTCGTGTTGTTCCAACACCATACAGTTCGCAAGCTCTGCCTCAGATGAGTTGGCATGGTCTAGCCTTGGTGGAGTTCTTTTCGTTACAAGCCCCGTCCGTGCGTCGTGAGACTCTGTGGTCTCTTGTTACGTTTCAATCTTCGTCGCCGTCTTTATATCCCCTCCCGGAAGGCGCTTTTTCTCGTGCTGATCGGACTCGAGTTTCCGTCTCCGCTGCCTTGAGAGTCCAAGCTTTGGTTCCCCTTCGTATGTCCCTTTGCGGCTGCTGCATCCGATTCCGGCCTGGGGCTCACGCTCCTCAGCCGCGGCGTCGCTTCGTGTTGATCGCCAAAGGGGTTGTCTCTGGAAGAACTGCCTGGGCGACCTCGTCCACTCACATCAAGGTCGGAATACCCTGCGCTTCCTCTGGCGCCCAAGTAGTCTCCGCCCGAACCTCCGCGGGAGCCGCTGCCATAGGGTTCATTCTGCAGTCCCGGGGTTGGGGCCAAACCCAGTTCCTGTTCTTCATATCCAGAATAACCAACTCCGGGTCCGTAGGGCTCTTCGTTTCCTACTCTGGTGTCCCATGCATCATCTTCCATCCCTCTGCCTCCCCTACCTCTGGGCCCTCCAGACACCAGTCCATCGGCGCCACTTCCGGCTTCTTCATAGGCCCCTCTGGCCGTGCGTCTTCTGGTCAACTTGGAAAATTGGTCCCTGGCCCATTCCAGCGGTCCCGCGTGCCGAGGGGCAGGGTAGTTTGATGAGGCCTGAGGCTTGAGGAACGGGATGTAAGTTTTCCATGATTTGAGGGAGGGGGCGGGGAGCCCTTGTTTGCGGGCGCTGTATTGTGTGTAGGCCACCCATCCGACGACCGCGAAGATGAGAAGGAGGAAGAGGAGGAAGAAGAAGAGGCCTAGAAAGAGAAGAGTTTCGGTTAGTGCGGATTCCGGCGCGACACCTGAAGAAGACCTGACATACCCCAACCACGCATGTTTGCGACAGCAGAGGGCTATTGTTCCAACTTCTGGGATCCTTCCGTTGTTCGAGAGCAAGGGTCACACTCGCAGACACCCAGATTGTGCCTCTGTTCGATACAAGAAACCGATTTCACCGGCGTTTGATGAAGGCGCTGACTTGTCGTCTCACTCACAGGTTCAGCTGAAGTGGTTAGGCGGGCATTGCTGCTGTTTGCTCCAGCCACCGTATTCCGACTGGACAGTTGAGAGGATGGATTGCAAGGAGGAAGATATTTGTTCTTCGGAGCAGTGCAATTGATGACTGACTGTGGCCTGGTTGGTTATTTGAGCTTCGGCTGACGAGGGAAACCTGCTTGACTGCTGGCTGCCGATGCGAGGCACAGCCCAACGTCAATTAGAACCTCAGCAGGCGGATACTCGGCTTGCGGGAGCCCAAATAGGTAAAGCGCATAGTGAGCATATCTTCACATGGCACTCACGTGTCATCCGAACTCCGTTTCTCAAAAGGCTATCGCAATGTTACCAACACACTCTATTGCTCCGAACTCTAGGAAGATATTATGTTTCATTCAATCTCGAAGTCGCTTCGAATTCTCTAGCACACGAGTTCTACAACCCTCCTTGCATCCATGCCTGTAGCGGGGATCTTTGTGACTTCGACCCAACCGCCTTTGGTGACTGCGACAATCTTCCCGTCGATACAAATCATCCTCCACTGTTCGTCTTCTTCATCAAATTCTATCCTTAATCCTTCGATATCTTCATACGTAGCCTTTGAATCCGTGACGTGTTGCCCGGATTGGTACGCTAGATGCATTATGCGCATGATCTCCGACGCTGGCTCAGCACCGATAGCGAGCAGCCGAAGACTCCCGTCAAGAGGTTTCGTGGCGGGCGAGATTCGAAAATGCTCCTCCAGGTTGGAGACCATCGTAGCCAGGATGTAGGAGTGCTGCAGTCCAGGCAGGTCTCTCCACTCGCCGTCTGCTTTCCGCCATTTGACCTTACCTCTGTACAGGTGAGCTTCTTTCAGTAGCTGTTCTGCTGCCATTCCGAATCTTGCTAGACCGTGCTTGCGATACTCCGTCGTATCGCTCATTGCCACAAGACTGGCATGTAGCCCCCAACTACAGACCACAGCGCCATACATGATCGGCCCATCCTCGCCACCAAGACCCAAATCTTCCCGATCCTGGCCTTCATTGGTGACCAGCTGTGAGCCGGGACTGAAGCACACCTGAAAAGACGGGAGAGATTTTGGTCTTCCTTCCATCATAGTCTTGATAGGGTCTTGAGCAACACCAGAACTCCACGCCAAGGCATTTGCAGTGCCCATGGGTATCAGGACAATGACAGGCTTGAGGAATATTGAAGGGGCTCTAATGTCGTCATTGCGCCGGTTTAGAAGACTTGTAAAAGTGTTGACAATATCAACAATGCCGCCATCTCCTGACAGCAAGATGATGGTTTGCTTGACACCTTGTCGCGCATTCGCGATGAAAAGTTTCTCGGTCAATTCGATGATAGTCCTGGTTGACTTAGTTTCATGCGTAAAGTAAACAGCACCGAAGCTGTCGAGTAACGGCTTGATGGATTCTTCATAGTATTCTTTTGCTTTGTGACGACCTGACAGAATGGAGATGACCACATGAATTTCACGATCGGAGAGCAGATGCGCCGGTAGGGCTTGTTGCGACGGCAAAGACATCTTGTGCAGCCTCGGACTCTATCATGAAGCTAATCGGATCGACGATGCCAGGTTTCTCTGCCAACCTCTGGTGATCAGTACATTCTTCCCGAGGCTGTTGGCCAATCGACGACTGATGGAGTAACACAGATTAGTGGCGTCGGGATGACTGTTCAGATGCAGGCTCACAGAGATAGATCCCTAGAAGCCGCCACGTTCGAAGAGCCGGGACTCAGCAGATGACTCGACACAGGAGCATACGAGTAAGAGGATGCTATGGGTAGGTAAGCGGCATAACAATGTTTGGGGTCCAGGCACATACGAAGTGGTTGAGCTAGGGAGAAACCCGAAGGATTGACCCTCGGAAGCAGGGGTTGATGGACAGGGAAACCCCAGCACTTCAGATCAGATCAGCGCCGTAATTTGGAATATGGTAGACACCTGACTGAATTGAGTCCTGCTGGTCTTTGAGAAGAGGTTGGAATAGCATGTTAGCCCAAGAAGAGAACATGTACCAAGGTACCTCGATACATTGTTCTCGTACGAAAAACTCTCGGCCCACCTGCTGTTTCCTGAACGATTCAGTCGCTAGAGCGCCCAAGCGAGGAAAGATACCTAATCTTCTAACATGGCGCCATTAATCAAGGCCATTGCTCAATCCAAGATAACATGACCTCAATCTTCAACATTGTAGGTTGCTACTCAGCTACGAGGCATACCCCCTCGGTGCCTACGGCGGCTCCCCTGGGTGATATGCTAAGATTTGCTGGCACCTATTGCGCCAGTTAAGCTGAGCTGGTGGAGGGGGAAGAAGTGTCCATTACACTTTTCTAGATTTGTTGCTGTTCTTGATAGGCGTGAATTCAAGCAGATCAAATGCTGGACTATGATTCGATTCTCATTATGGGCTCCAACGTCCGACAAGCCTCTATCTCGTCGTGTCCGAGCGCAACGTCTCTGCCGCAGATGCTCAAAGATCAACCTGGAGAACCTCTTCCAAGCCGGATCGCGCTGTCAAGAGGAATTTGAGGGGGTCAATGTCAAGTTTCTGGGCGCCTTGCCGACGGAAGAAGGGCGTGTTCGTTGCGCCATGTGCAAATTATTCATCGGAGCCCGGCTGTATCAGGAACAAGCCGCAGACAAGAACTACGATGTCCAAGCATACAGCAGTGCGCTTCGACGACCGACACTGGAACTATGGGAAAACGCGTCGCAGACACATAGTTGTATCCTTGCTGTACAACATGGAGAGGGGAGACGGAATTCGTATGCACCCAGAAATCTATACGACACCTCTGAGCGTCTGAATGATATCGCAGTGGTAGCCGCAGCAGAATCACCAATCCCGGAGCCGACCGAATCAAAGCCACTCGTCATGTATGGTTGTGAGGTGGTTCCCAACAGCGTACAATACGATCGACTTCGTCAATGGCTATTCGAGTGTGAGCAGCAACACGGATTCAGATGTCGGACGCCTCATAGGGATCAGCAATTTCCCGTTAGGGTCATTGATTGTGTATCAAGAACTGTGGTTCTTAGGCCTCGAGATTCCCATTATTTTGCCTTGAGCTACGTCTGGGGGCCACCCGATCCCTTGGCTACGCCTTGGACCTTGAAAGGCCATCACGACTCCATTGAACTACCGACTTGTCTACATCCGGCTATCGACGATGGAATCAAGGTCGTTCTGGCACTTGGAGGGTGCTACATATGGGTCGACCAATTTTGCATCAACCAAGCTGACGAAGAGGAGAGGGGTCAAGAGATATCCCGCATGGATCGAATCTATGCCGGCGCAGAGGCCACTATAATCGCAGCAGGGTCCCAGACAGGAAGGGCTGGTCTTGTGGGCGTGGGCTCCATCTCGAGATTACATCAACCCCATGTCTTCTCCCGGTGTAAATTGTTCGTCTCAACTCTACCTCCTCTACGATCGGCCCTTGCACAGTCAAATTGGATTACTCGTGGCTGGACATTCCAGGAAGCTTGTCTATCGAGACGTTGTCTATTCTTTACGGACCTTCAAGTATACTACACCTGCATGAGTGGTTCCGAGTGCGAGTCTATAGTCACGAATTTTCCAAAAGAAAAAGAACATTCTGGTATGGGATCATCAACAACGTACGCAGCCCTAGATCACCTGGATGCAATTCAACCAGCACCCCTCTTGGACAGTCGGATGGGTGGTCCCCCTCGCTGGGCCTTTAGAGACGCTCTAAGCCAATATTCCCGACGTACATTGTCGTACGACTCTGACGCATTAGATGCATTTCGTGGGATATTGCAGCGATCGAGCCAGCCTAGTTACTGGGGCATACCGTTCCTTTTCCAAGATGCCCAGGACCATGCCGACCCCAGGTTGACCCTAGCGGAAGATCCCAACTACAGATTTGCTTGTGGTCTTTCCTGGGAGCCGTTTGTGAGCTCCCCCGGATCATTTCGTCAACAATCGCTAATAAGGAGGACTGGTAGTGCCTCGGGTATGGAATTCCCTAGCTGGTCCTGGGTTGGCTGGGTCGGCCATGTCAGCTATTTCTCGCCTCACGATGCGGGTGCACTACGAGGATATGGCTATCTCCCAGAATGGGACATCGCTCCAAAAGAGGACTTTGGCCTACGGATATGGGTCAAAAGCAATACGGATGGGACTTTGACAGCAATTGATGATCTATTGCGATCATTCCAGTCACAGTCCCAGACTCAACAGTCAGAGGAAGAGGACGACGGTCCGCCCGACGTCATGGTTATCCCAGAAATATCACCAGTGCTGAAGATCGATTCGATATTGATCTCTACCCGGATTGAGTGGCGGAATGACGAAGGCGGTTATTTCATATCCGGCTCGAGAACCTGGGTGTCCAACGTTGTGTTTTGCGAGTACCCTCCCAGAAACAGTGATCTGCATGATAGAATCATATCCGAGGAATGGGTTGGTGTCGTTTTGATCATGAAGATGGCTGCTGGGATGGAGGAGGAGGACGATGATGATTATGATGATGATGATGAAGAAGAAGAAGAAAAAGAGGAGGAGGAGGAGGAGGAGGAGGAGGAGGAAGAAGAAAAAAATGAGGAGAGGGAAGAGCAGGAGGAGCATTTCATCGGGAAGGAGGGGAAGTCCGTCAAAGAGGAAGAGAGCAGGGAAGAAGAAAAGAGTGAAAGGGGGCCCTTCAACTGGGTTGATAGAGAGCCGTCTATATTTGTCTTGTTGCTCGACAAAAGAGACGGGAAGAACGAACGCTTCGGATCAGTTTGGGTGTCGTGGGAGACATTTTCGTCTATGGAAAAGTGGCGAGAGTCAATTGAACTATTCTAGTATTCGAGTAGGAAAATCAGTCTGGCAGTGTAGCAACGAGCCAAGTAGCTAATCTCAGTACCCTTATCAGCACGTGATGACCTACTGAAGAAGGTACAACGAGCGGCTCTTGCAATTCCCCCTTCTGCCCCGAAGCGCTCCACGTGGTCCTCAACGCCCTTAGTCGCCATCCCCTGACAACATTCCTCCCTGCTTGATCCACATTCCAAGTTGGGCATTATATAATTACCGAAAACATCAGATTAGCCTGGGATCTCACATCGGTTTGTTCCGTCCCTGCCAACATTTGCCGATCTATAGCCTACAGATTTACTACTGTGTGCTCTCTCAAGAAGGTAAGTCGGTGAGATTGCTGTCGCGGTTATTAGGGATTGGGTAAGTGATCAATAGGTGCACAAACTTGTGCTTTCCGCCCTGCGAGAGGACCAAAGCCGCATTAATACCGCAGGAATATTTCTTCTGATATCAGGAGAACGGGGCAGGATCCTATTGTGGTGCCATTGACGAGGAGTTATTACTGCGATAACTGAGCATTTGTACGAGTGACCAGGCTCCTCCTTGTCCAACAACGCTAGGTACATTCGACTTCACCCACACCGAGAGAAGGCCAACACTTGACCGATACAGTCAGACCAATCGGCTTCGGATGCGCGAGCAACAGCAGACAATAGAATCAATCATAAGGGTGACCTACTAGACCCCGCAAATGATGTCGCCCCCACAGCCAGCGGCCGCGGTTTGCCTGAGGGATACGAAGACATCTTGGCGACGCAATGCGGCCGTTACTTCGAGTACCCACCAATAATGTCGTCCGAGGGTACAAGATACTTCATGCCAGAAAGGGTGGCCTGCTCGCATTTGCCCGAGACGAGCTATTACGAGACAAGGTTTGGCCTGATACTCGCGACACAGGATCCCCTGTGAAGAATGCTTCGCCGCTTTACCTTGTGCACAGTTGCAGTGAGTGGCAGCGGAACTCATCTTCCGTATCTGGTTGCATGTCTTCTCCTTGCAAAGCTGTTGTGCTACGAGACGGTTCAGCTGACTGGGGAGGAGAATCGGAAACATCCGAGACTGACAGGGGTTAAGGAAATCTAGACCAAGGACAACATCCCAAGCCTTTCCCCTCCTGGTATTACTGGCCGATTCTGAGCGACAGAAATATCACAAACATTCACCCCCAGCCCAGGATGACAAGATTGTTCGAGCACTGCCCTCTCTTGGTATCTTGCTTCTCGAAGATCCCTGCCACTGGGCGCAAATCGACCGGCACCGACACAAAGCCTCTTTAGTGCATCTACAATGCCACACACTTCTGGACTAATGCTTGAAGTGTCGCTCATACTGAACACGAGACATCTGCATGTTCTTAGGTAAGAGGAAGATGGAGGTAGGTATATATAGCTGTTACTTCTACCCTGTCCCCAAGTAAGCCTTTCCAAAGTCTCAACTACGCCCATCTACTTCATACATCGGTCAGCTCGACTACAGATTCAAGATTGCGTCGCATTTGACTTCGGAAATATGGCAACCACCAATGGGGCAGATGGTACACAAAAGTCGGCGCTCGTTGCCGCCGATGAGTTTGTTGGGCGGGAGTACGACTATCTCGTCTGTGGTGGCGGTACAGCTGGACTGGTTATTGCTGCCCGCTTGACAGAGAATCCAGATGTCACTGTCGGTGTTATCGAAGCCGGGAAGAGTCGCCTTGGTGACCCGCTCGTTGATGTCCCAGCCATGTTCATACAGATGTTGGGTAACAAGGAATACGATTGGGCTTGGGAAACTATCCCTCAGGTAAAGACTAAACCCCTTGATACTATACTCCTGAACTAAATATTGGACAGCCAGGCAACAAGAACAAAGTCCATCAAGTCCCTCGGGGTAAAGCGCTAGGTGGTTCCAGCGCAATCAACTACATGATGTGAGTTTCACGCTCTAGCGATGAACAGCCCCGCCGCCTAACACCAACAAAGGTATGTTCGCGGATCAGACCAAGATTACGATGACTGGGCCGAACTGGCGAATGACCCATCGTGGTCGTCGGCTCAGATGAAACAATACATGCGGAAGCACCAAACTCTGGAGCCTGTCGATGAACGAATAACTGACCGTTCTACCATGCCGTTCGTTGGAGAGAACCATGGCACCAGCGGTCCTGTGCGAACTAGCTTCAACGACTTCAGGCTTCCCATTGAGGACGACGTGATCAAGGCCGCAGACCATGTCACCGGATTCGACAAAAAGCCCCTCGATCCATGGAGTGGAGACCATATCGGGTTCTTCAACACCCTGGGTGCTGTGGCACGCACAGGACCCAACAAGGGGATGCGCAGTTACGCTGCTAGAGGATACTTCCAGCCCAACGAACATCGACCCAACCTCAAGGTCGTAACCGAGGCGCTTGTGGCTCGAGTTATCCTCGAAAATAAGAGAGCCACTGGTGTGGAATTCGTCCACAGTGGACAGAGATATACCGTCAAGGCCAAACGAGAAGTTATTGTTTGTGGTGGAACCATCAACTCTCCTCAGATTCTTGAGATGTCTGGCATTGGCAATCCGGATATTCTCAGAGCCGCTGGCGTCCAATGTCTGGTCGCCCTGCCCTCTGTCGGCGAAAACTACCAGGACCACGTCGCTACTGCTGCAGTCTATCAACTTGCCGATGGCCAAATGTCCGGTGACTCGATCTACAAGCCCGAAGTCATGGAGGCGGCGCAAAAGGCTCTGGCTGAAGAAAAGGGAGGACCCTTGACCGCGATCCAATCCACACAGGGCTTCTTCCCCTGCACCTTGTTCCTGGAGGACGGCGAGCTGGAGGAGGTCGTCAAATCGATCGAAAGCGCCAAGGCGAAGGCGACGTCGTTCCAGCGGAAACAATGGGACCAAGTCATCTCGCACCTCAAGAACAACAAGTCGGCGAACCTGCAACTGGTCTTCATTGCCGTCACGGGCAATCTCGCCGAAGGACCCCGTGACCAGAGCACCCTGTTCCCTCCACCACCCGAAGGGGCCAAGGACGGCGTCACCCTGGCCGTTTGTCTGCAGTACCCCGTCGCCCGGGGCTACATCCACATTAAATCCGCCGACCCGGCCATTGCCCCCGAAATCAATCCCAACTACCTGGGCCACGAAGCCGACGTTGCCGTGCTGGCCGCAGGCCTGAAATTCGTGGACAAGACGGCCTCGTCCGCGCCCCTCAAGGACAAAATCTCCCACCGCATCGCTCCCGAGCCGGACAGGTTCCCCCTCGACACAGCCCAGTCCCGGCGCTCCGCCATCCGGGAATACGTCCTCGGCGAGTACCACAGCTGCGGCTCGTGCGCCATGGGCGACACGGTCGACTCGCGCCTCCGGGTCAAAGGCGTGCAGAACCTGCGCGTCGCCGACGCGAGCGTCTTCCCCAACAATGTCAGCGGCAATATCGCAAGCAGCGTCTACATGCTCGCGGAGAAGGCGGCGGATATGATCAAAGAGGATTGGGATTATGCCGCTCTGAACAAGTTGTCCAAGTAGACAGTTATGCAGAGACGTCTTTTGCCTTTGAAGTTACTCCCTTCTCGCGTCTTCTTGGGAGTTGCATGTTACAAAAGCTAAATCACGAATTGAAACGGGAATCATCAGGGACATGTGCATAACATTGGGTTAAGTGGAAGAATCGTCGACGAGCAGTAGGCCCGTTTATGTTCAGCCGTGTCCACGTCCACGTCTATATGGGTGAGGACGGGCAGGTTGGGAGGAAACCCTCAGGCGCCCATATTCCTATTGATCGAACTCGCTATATCCATGCGATTGTATCAGTGTAAAGCTCCCTTGTGAATGGCATGTATACCACGTCCTCCCAATCCATGGGGAATGGCATCTCATAAACCACTATCAGATCCATCTCCCGTACGTGTTTTCCATAACATAATCGCGATTTCTGGCCAATAATTTCTCTGGAGACTGAGATGTCGGCACATGGGAAAGTGAGGAAAGTGGATGCAGAATTGTGATGTGTTGACGTCACTGATTTCTGTCCTGTGCGCGCCGAAACCGTTTGCGGAGAACTAAAATGCTTGGCGTATTTGCATTGTTTGGGTAGGTCCGCTCCCAAAATTACCTCCATTGCTCCATATTCAACCAACTTCAACTTCAACTCCGACCATGTTTACCCGTTCTCAACTCGCCTGCAAGCAAACACAGGCCAGCCGTTGCCTCTAATCTCAGCAGACAATGATCTCGGAGCTAGAGCGTGCACTTGTTTCTTGGCATTGATCTTTCTTTGTGCTGCCTGTTCATGGTGCTCCCTTGACTCTCGTGTTAGTCTCAGCTTCTAGAACACATGTCTACATGTATCGAGTGAGTAGACCTATGTCTGCTCTTACCGATGATGTTACACGACATCGGGAGATTTGTTCAATGTTTGAATCGTTCGCGATATCCTTGGATTCGCTCCTTGCAAAATGGTCTGAGTATCGGAAATTGACAAGATTCGTGGTTTTGTTTCCCCAGTCTGTTCTTTATTTGTACTACCATGCAATCTAGAAACGGCTTCTAGGGTCCAGCTTGCAATGGCTCTTTATTTGGTTTCCATTTTCGGCACAAAGATGTCTTCTTGCTATTCCTGCAACCGCCTTAAGATGTCCAGACTCTACCCAAATTCTCCTGTTTCCTCTCCACCCACCGACCTTGACCCCGAGACATTGGTTTCTATGCCTGTTTATTGACAGTGGTTGTTGCCCGAGACACTCTCCTAAATTTCCTAAAACTCAAGCGACTTAACGGGTCTCTTCAACGAAACATGCGCTCATACATCCCTCTCATCATCGGTGCCTGCTTGGCTATCGCCGCTCGAGGCTCTGCCAGTTACGCCGGAGACCGTCCGATCCTTCCTCGTCGTATCACCTGCATGCCCTCAGATTCTGGCGGATGCGCTAGTTGTGGCGCTGATTACGTCCAATGTGGTCCGGATACTTGCTATAACCCATCTGCTGGCGAAGTCTGTTGTTCAAACCAAT